TTTTTACTTGACATACACTGTCGATGATTGAACTGAGGTTGGTCATGGTGCTTTTCACCATTTCGCCGCTTAGGCGAGGTCCCATGTTGGTCGACCATTGTGGTCAGATTTTGACCCATACACTAACTATAATACTCCGTATTCTCTTTTATTTGGTGAAAGGCACCCTAATCCTTTGGACTGGATGATGCTCAGATTTCTTTCCCTTTCTCATCTATAATTTCAAAATGCATGTACCGTTTACTTCATATGTGAACGTGGAAAAGAACCTTAAAAGGTGAAAAGAACAAAAAAGTAGTCTATGTTTTACTTTGATTTATGTACTTATAATGAGGTAATACGTGTATTTGGCTGGTGACATGGCTCTAAGATGGATTTGAGACGTTTATGCGGTTGGGTTTGCTGCGGCTTGTGGGCGAGCTCTTTTCAATTGCGTCAAGCTTCCATTATTGTGAGTTGTGACCGGTAATTATCGGCCGATAGTATGTGAATGCAGACGACAATTGACTTTTTCAATTATCTCATTTTTTAAAAATTTCGTTTACTTTAACCAAATTAACTGCCCACTCCGTCCCAATTAACGTGGGGCATGAGTTTTAAAAAAGAAAAAACATTTGAAATTTATAGTTTAAAACAAGTCATAAATATTTATGTAGCTATAAATCATTTTATTATGGATAAAATGAGAAATTTTTAAAATTAAATTATTTTTAAATAAAAAAATGACATTCTTTTTGGATAGGCTAAAATATTTGGACAGAGAAATCAAGTAGGAAATTTTACATGCTATAATTAAATAATGCACCCTATTTATTATAAACCAGAATACTTTGAAAATATTATTATTTATAGGTTCTTTTTATATTTTATAGCAAAATACAAATATATATAACTGATCCCTCAACGTTTCCACCAATCCTCTCTCTCTTCTCCCTCAACTCTCTCTCCTTATTCCCTCTCTCGACAAGGCAGCCGTCCAAATCTGGCGTTAGATCCAGGTCCAGGCAATGGTGGCGACTTCGTGATTTCAGATCTAGTAGTGGGCGGTGATGGGTCTGGTTTGATAGTTGTGATTTGCGAAGATGACTTAGGGTGGTGATGTATGGAGAAAGACGGATTTTCTATCTTCTAGGAGTGGACCAAAATAGAAGCCCATCTTGAATTCATTAGGGAGAAATTCAAAAATAGCCAGATTTACAAGTGGTCATTCAATACTGGAAATTCATATACAGGTGCTCCAATCTCCAGTATATTATGCTGGATCGGTCCCTGTTGCAGTAAAATAGTGACTATTTTTCAATGACTTTACAAATACTGGCTATTTTTAAATAATCAGTCCGAAAACTGGTTAGCTTGTGCTATTTTAACAATTCCTTTAGCATGTGTACCACAACAGAAGCCCAAAGTCCTTTTGACGGCGCAGTTTTTCTAGGCTACATTCGCCAAAAGACAAAAACAGAACGATTAGTAAGTTTAGTTGGGCTTCTACTAGTCGTATGTTCTAGAAACAAAACAGATCATAATCGGCAGAGGCCGATTTGTAGGCATTTACACGGGCACGTGAACCCATGGTCTTTCCGTCAAACTAGATATTTTATATATATATTTTTAGAATTGATCTAGTATTATCGGCTGGCATCCATGCTCCAAAGAGGCTAAATGGTGCACTTGGTTAAATGTTGAGTTATTTACCTAGAGGATTAGGGATCAAATCCCACTTAATACTTCTTTGTTTCTCCTTTTAAGTGGTGCACCCATGTTATTAAAATCCTAAATCCGCCTCCGATAATCGGCGCAAATGATTTAACAATGGGTAACTGTTGACTTAGGTCCTCTAAGAAAATGTGGGCCGAATAGTGGCAAGGTCAATATTTAATTGATTGAGTGCACTTCCCTTTCTCTTAATTCACTTCGAGAAGAGAGGGAGTTATCAACCTTTCCAGAAAGTGTGAAACACACAATTAAAAAGTCAGAGAAATTCGAATAGAGCCCTTTTCAAAAGGAAAATTCGATTAGAAAATGGTTAGCACCCCCATAATTCGCATCTAAGAAGTCAGAAGAAATTCGAAGAGAGCCCTTTCCAAAAGAGAGATTCGATTGTAAAGCAGTGATTAACATCACCATCAAATTCCACATGAGATAGCTTTTATTATTGATATTAACGAATCCAAAGCTGAGCATTGATTCTTTATGGATTGATACTACACCAAGGGTAGAAAAAACGACACATCATGTGCCAACTGCAAAGCTGATGAAATATCAAAAACCCTTTACGGCTTTACCTATTCAGTCTTCACTATTCCCTACATACATGAGTCATGATAATCAGTGGCGGAGCTAGAGTACTTATAGTTTCAGTCGAATCCAGTAGCTTTAATCCAACTTTTATATTTCACTTAAGCAATACGTTGAATATGTACAGATTGTATTGTTAATTAATAGTAACTTAATTTGTATGCTTCAAATCCTTTTGACAAGTTGCTTGTGACTTAAAAGAGGAAGCTAAGTCCACAAGAGACACCTTTTGGCCTTTATGTTGGCGGTCTTGTCCTTTCAAGCTAAGTCAGCATCGTGTTCTTGTTTATTATGCAGTCAAGTTGTCTTCTGTGTCCAACTTGCTATACGTTATTTGCGTGTTTTTAGTTATGGTCTTATCCTCACGCTTTGCATGCAATAAACCAATTTTCTGTGTGCCCAACGTGTTAATTTTATCTCCTTTACTACTTAATTTCATCATTGGCTACGTACTCAAAGTTATCAACAAGGTAATTTCTGACTTAAAATGTCGTTTTCCCCCTAGTTTAATTAGGATACTTAAATGCCGTGTAAAAGAAAACCATGGGACCATCTTTGATATGTAATGGAAAGAATTGAAGCTACTGCTTCAAATTGCACACTTGGATTTTCTACTATTCCCAAAATTGAATGGCAGTAGGCTCAAAAGGTGACCCTTTACTAACTGTAACTGATTGCTATGCAATATTTTGGGGTCAACGTCTAAGGGATTATTTGTGTTTGGATAAAAAAAATTAGTGATGAAAATTTTTCTGCATTTAAGGGCATGACTTAGTGGTCAATAAAAAGTCATTCGTACATGAAATTTTTAATATTATAGTATCCACATCAGATAAAAATTCATTAGTACAAGATTTTATTTCCAAAATAAAACTTTGTATAATTGATACAACATTTGATTTCTCGTATTAATTTGTGCACTACTGGTATTAACAAATTAAACTTATATTGGAAAAATAAATACTAGTAATTTTTTATGCGAATAAAGATAGAATTGCTCGTAAGTTAGACAGTTTTTATAAAACAAATCTACATATTTTTATTCACCATATAACATGTCCAACATTTTTGTGTCATAATCACTTGCATAACTACTAGTGCTTTAATTTGTCAACCAAACAAATCCCCTATTAAATCCTATCAGGGGATACTTTGTTCATGTCTCTCCCTCACCCCGACCTCTTTCCTCTAAAACGATCTCCTATATCCACTTATACTCTGAACTTATTCTAAAATCTGTGTTTTGCTTACAAAATTCTATGTTATTTTTTGTTGATCTCTCATAATTAAAATAACATTTGTAATATACTACAAAATCAAATTTATCTTTATTTGAAAGAAGTCTTGTCTGTTTATTTATTTATTAGTTATCTACATTTTAGTACTCTAACATATTTATTCGATTGTTGCGGTGTACCTTCCTTCCTAGATGCAATGATCGATTTGCTAAATTCACTGTTCTTTCTTTCACAGAATAGTACTCTCTTTTCCCATGCCAAATTTGGCAAGTGTTTAAACTTCCTCAAATTGCAACAACACATGAGTGGAAGGTGGGAACATCGACAAGACCAAAACTTAACAGTAAACCTGCTTGTACAGCTGCGACAAGCATTAAATCCAAATAATTTAGACATGGATATGAATAATTTGAGTATTACCTAATTATTACCTATGAATTTGTTTCACGAAAACAATCCAATGACCGGATTAACGTACAAAACTTTATATCACTAGTTAGTAATTTTAACTATTACGGAGGACAAAATTTTCAATTTTTTATACACTTTCAGTGTTTACGTTAAATAGTACTATGGTGTTTGAAGATAATAATAGTTAACATGAGATGAAAATGTATATTAATTAACTATAATTAAGCTATAAAGTTTATGTATAAATATAATTATTTATTTAGTGCAAATATCGAGTGCGAGTTATTATCGCTTCTCATTCTAACCTAGAAATAGTGATATAGTCACACTATTCCAAGGGTAGTCAAGTGAACACTCTTCGCTGGAAAATGATACTATGTATATAGATTGAATATTATTTTATATTGGTATTGATATATATTTTGATCACCCTTAACAAAATTAATGAGACAGTCCAGTGGTTTATGATTTTCAAAGTAAGGGGTTGTTCACGGGTTTGAATCCTTGTCTAAATTATGCACTACAACCCTCTCAACTCTTTTTTTCCTCTACTTTAATGCTTACTTTATTAGTAAAATACTGCTCTCATCTTTTTTCAATATTATTTTTTATTTATAAAATTATAGTTTTATTACAAGAATTTTTATTATTTAAATAAATATTACATAGTTTGATTTAATAACTTCGGTGCTAAAAATATCCTACCAAGCCAAAACCGTGTTTAGGCCGAGGCGAGTTTGAACCCAGCAGTATTTTGGCTAGTCACAAATACCGAGTGCGACCCAAGTTGAGAGTTGAGACCCTTCTCTTTATTACAACGAGTTTGATAGAAAGCGACTCCTCACGCGTCAGCATATTTTACAGAGGGGTTGGGGACCTACTTTTAGTCTACAACCCACAACAACCATAATAAAATTTTACTATTGATTTACTAACACGACCTTCTCAGAAAATTACAAAAAGCATAAAATAATGATTGACCCACGCCCAAACAGGCCCCCATTAGGAAAATTCTATAAATCACTTTCTTTCCCTTGCCTATTAAAAGGAGTGGACACACAGAGTTGTAGCAGAGCTTCCCATATATTATCCACACGCATAGAAAATACTAAAATCCGTCTCTTCTCTTTGTATTTTTAGCTTCTTGAAATTATTAAGGAAACTGATCTAATCCCAGAAAATAGCTGCTCCTTTTCCTGTTTTATAAACTAGATACAGACTAATTCCAATTGGGTTTTCTTTTTCTTTTTCTCTCTCACCTTAACGACCCTAATTTGCACTCCGAGATTTATAGTTATATTGGTATATATATTCCATCTCCTTTTTTGTGGAGTTCTTTTGCTATGGCAATGACAAAGACCTTGTCTATGATCTCACGAACTGGTAGAGATTTGCAGAGATATAATGATGGCTGTCGTCAAGTTGTTGGGTGTGTATTCTTTTTTATTATTATAGTTTTTTCTCTTAATCCTTCATTTTCTTGGCTTAAATTGAAGAAAGTTGAAAACTTTTTATGTGGGGTTGCTTTGAATTCTTAAATTTGATACAAAAAAGAATTTTTCAAATCAATTTCTTGGTATGTTGAATTATCTTTGATCAAATTGTCATTGATCTGACTTTTCTGTCAATTTTACCAATGGTGCAGATGCATTCCGTACAGATACAGAAAAACCAACCAATCATCTACAGTTCAAGGGACCCAAATTGATGATTTGGAATTTTTATTGATCAGCTCACAGAAAAGTCCAAGATGGATGTTTCCTAAGGTACAGTTTCCATCCAATTGTCTGTTGTTTTTGTTTCCCATGTTTGGATTATTGATAATATTTTTTAATCATTCAGAAATTTGACATTCTTTGTTTTGTAAATGAAATTACAGGGTGGTTGGGAAACTGATGAGGCATTAGAAGATGCAGCTTTAAGAGAGACTTTTGAGGAATCTGGGGTTATTGGTGAGGTTGAGGTTCAAGAATTTTTAGGTACTTGGAGTTTCAAGAGCAAAAGCCAAGGCACATTTCATGAGGGACACATGTTTCCTTTGCTTGTCACTGATGAACTTGATGATTGGCCTGAGAAAACTGTCCGAAAACGCCTATGGGTATGTCTCAAATCTGCCTATCTAATAAGCTACTGTGATCTTGAATCACTTCGATTCGTATACCTTTTAGTAGGATGATGTATTCTGATCTTATGTTTGATTCCATTTGCAGTTGAAATTTAGTGAAGCAAGGGAAGTATGTTGGCATTCATGGATGAAGGAAGCTTTAGATGTCTTTGCTTCTAAGCTTACAAAGAGAAACAAAGAAGAAGAAGAGCCTCAAACATGCGCTTTCGATGAATTGTCCTATGAACAGACAGTTGGTGCTGTATCTGACCCAATGTTTTGTGTAGAACCAAGAATCAGCATAGAAGCTAATGATTTGACCTGTGAAGAGCTAAGAATTAGCCTTGTAGGTAAGCTAAAGTTCAATCAAGAATCAAGAACAAAGCCCTTGTTCGATGAAATTAGTAATGTAGCAAACTCAATGTTCAGTGAAGAAGCAACAATGAGCACCAAAGCCAAGCAGATGTTCAATGAAGAAATGGGAAATGGTCATGTAACTCCAATGTTTGGTGAAGGTAAAAGAATAAGCATTGCTGCTTTCAGCTAGCGAACAAATGAAGGAGAAACCTCAAGACTTTTAAGAACCATGGACGCCTATTCAGCAGAATTCTCGACAAGGTGGGAGCCAAGAATCAGCATAAAATAAAGGAGAAAGAAAGAGCCTTGGAACCTTGTTAAGAGAAATTTTGGTGGCTTAGAGTGCAGGAATTGGCGTTGTAGCGCACAATCTGCAAAAGAAAGGAAGAATAGCCTTTTGATGCAGTTACAAGCAGCAGTATTATGGAACTGATATATGCTATGCTTGATTGAGAGAAGACAACATGAGATCTTTCAGGATAGAGAGATTTAGAGGTTAATTCCAAAAGTTTCTAACTTCATTCTTTAATTCTTTCATACTCATTCATTCTTTGTTAGCTTTTTCTTACTTAAGTCGAATAAATGTACATCAACAATTGTTTGATTGTGTGTAAAGAACACCAGAATTGAAAGAAAGACTGTGTCTTTCGTTTGGCATTAAAAATTCTTCTCTAGTTTGTTGGCATAACCCTGTTCATTCAATTATTGAACTATATAATAATGGATGTGAAGTTCTTGACTTGTCTGTGTTCTGGAATTTGGACAAATTTATTACTGTTGGCATGGATAGGTGAAGAACTTGAATTTTCGACTCTTCTACCAACCATAAGTTTTAAACTCTAGAAAGACTACTCTTCTATGTATATTATTGCCGACATGAATAATGAAGCCGATTGCAGTTGACTGTATAATAAAAAAAACAAGGAAGTTGCCATGAAACAGAGAAACATGNAACCATAAGTTTTAAACTCTAGAAAGACTAACTCTTCAAAATATTATTGCCGACATGAATAATGAAGCCGATTGCAGTTGACTGTATGATAAAAAAAACAAGGAAGTTGCCATGAAATAGAGAAACATGGTTGCATGTTTAGAATTATTTTCTTGGAATTATTTGATTTTATTAAATGGTGTTCCGACAAGTTGCTGGGAGTTCACGAGGAGGACATACCCATCATGCAGGAAAAAATCTCGTTAAAAATTAGTAACTCAAGATATGGTTGATGAAGTACACTAATAAATAAGAGAAATATGGTCCCCTCATTTCACTTCATCTGCCACTCACCTGAAATTATGTGATTTTGTTAATGTCTGAGTTCTTTATCTTGCACCATGGTAGTCAAGAGTAAGCGCAGAGATGGATTCAAGATTTGAATTATATGAGTTCAGATTCACAATTCTATCATATCTCATCTAATTTACTGAGTTCAAAATTTACTATTTGTATATATTTAATAATTTTTTGAATAAAAATATAGGGTATGAGCAAAAGCTATGTGTTCAGTTGAAGTAACCGGACTAAAAGGCAAGATGAAGAGGTCTTTTGGTCTTACCACACGACTTTGATCTAGTGGTAAGAGTACAATGTGTAGCGTGTGGTTCGACACATATCACACTTTTGAACTTTACCGTAAACAAAAGCATGATATTTTAGTGGAAAAAGGTTTTAAAAAAAACAAACAAACAAAAAGACAGGCCTATTATTCACCAAGTTTTGAACCTTAAAGGGTACTAGTAGCAACGTCAAAATGTTTAATGTGTACATTTAGAGGTCGTTTGATAGCTGGTTAGGAGAAAAATGATCCATATATTGGGGGCAACATAACTTATACAATGTTCGGTAGCCTTTAGTTATTTTTTACAAAATTCAGCAACTAATATCGTGTTTGGTTGTCATTTTACAATTCTACATAAATAATACATGTATAAGTTATGAGCCAATCTGTGTATTATTTTACGCGAGGTAGAAGATAGATTAACTAATGCATGTATTAGTAATACATGTATAAAATATTGAAATGACAAATTTACCCCTATCACTTTACTCATAAAAACCTCCTTCGACAGATTGATCTGCATCAAACCCTTTGGAGAGCACTGATGCCACACTACTAGGCTCTTCCTCTTCTTAGTAAATAAGTATTTAATTTTAAAATTTATATAATGTGTATCAATTTATAATACAACAAACCAAATATTCAAAAAAATAATCTTTGCGTAACTAATTCATGCATAACTAATCCCTATATTACTTATTCATGCATAACTAATCATGCTCTTCTTCTCTCCATTTTGAGTATCTCTTTTGTGTCAATTTTAAATTCCTATAGCTGATTTTATTTGATTACAGGCTCGATTAGCCAGTGTTGGACTTTCAAAAACCATAGCAGAGCTTCGAAATATCACTGGTAAACCACAAACAGAGAAGAAAAAACATAACAAAATTGACTACTTCTCCACCGCTGTGCGTCGTTCCAAACGACTAAAAGGAGGTAACGAACCCAAGGTTGAGAAGAGTAGGGCTGAAGAGACTAATAAGCCGAAGAGGCCTACAACTGCTTTCTTCATTTTCATGGAAGAGTTCAGAGAGCAGTACAAAGAAAAGTATCCAAACAACAAATCTGTTGCTGCTGTGGGTAAAGCTGCTGGAGAGAAGTGGAAATCCTTTTCAGATGCAGAGAAAGCTCCATATCAAGCAAAGATAGAGGAAATGATGGCTGAATACCAAAACAAGATGCAGGCTTATAACATTAACAAAAAACAACAGGTTGCGGATGTTTCTGCATTACCAAGAGCATTAAGATTAATAACAGATTGAAGTAATATTATTAGCAGATGATGATGTGAAGAAAATGGGTGTAGGATATTATTTTAAGGCTGCTGATGTTTCTGCATTACCAAAATGCATTTTAGTATTTCTTTCCTGGTTTATTTTGGGGTTTAATTAGTTGGGAAAGAGAAAGAAAATAGGTGAGCTAGTTTAAGGGTTCCAGTTGTAGACTATTTTGTTGGTGCTTAATGATAATTCAACTTGGACTTGTCCACCAGCAATTAGCAAAGCCAAAAAGTGTGTTACTTATGTCTATTGTCTCTCTTTATTTATTTATTTATTTATTTTGTTGTCGTGCTAACATATATAGTCTTGGAACAATAGTAAAGTTGTGTTCGTGTAACCTATAGGTTACGGGTTCGAGCTGTGAAAGTAACCATTAATATTTGCATTAAGGTAGACTGTCTACATCACTCCCCTTCAAAAATGGCCCTTCTCCAAACCTTGCGTGAACTTGAAATACCTTGTGCATCGAGCTACCCTAAGGATATATAGATAGGAGAGTGAGTGTGGATTTTTCCCTAAGATAATGCTTTTAGGGAAATTGGGACTTTCGGAAGAAAGGGATGTTGAAGATAATTTTAGAGAAATAGCTTTTCCGGCTAGAAATTAGAGTGGTTTTGTGAGATAATTAACTCTGCCAACATGAATAATTTTATTGTTCTAAACAAACAAAAGTGATTTTACTAGGTAATTGTCATAGCTTGGGTGATCATACAAGCAATTAACTCCTGCTCCATATTATGGCGGAAGAATCGAAGTCTTGAAGCAATGATAGAATTGTCTTTGTATGACTTATAAGTCACGAGTTTGAGTCGTGGAAGCAACCATTAATGCTTGCATTAGGCTAGACCGTCTATATCACACCCTAGAGGTGCAACCTTTCCCCAGATCTTGCGTTAAGTGTGGGATGCTTTATGCACCATGTTACCCTTTTTTTCATATGAGTGGAAAATAATGAAGCCTATTGCAACTTTCTATATGATAATTAACATACAATGCAGTTGCCATTATGAAAGAGAAAAACATAATTGCATTGTTGAGTTATTTTGTTGGAAAACATAAACCTTAAGCGATAATAAATCAGACAACAAAGAGAAATATACCAAAAGAGACACAAATATTTAACGTGGTTTGGTCAACTAGGCCTATGTCTACGGCGGAGATGAGCAATCCACTATATAAAAAAAATACAAATATCGAGAGAACAACCCCACGAAGAGGCAAACACAAATGACACACTAACACTTGTCCCGTAAAATTCTCCCCCTGAACACGACTCTCAAACCCCATATGGCTACATTATGGATGCTACTGAATTAGAATGATGGATCCTCAATTTATAGAAGTCGAAATCTTTTCCTACAAGAAAAAGAACTAGCCAAATATAAGAGAATTATAATTTCCTTCTACAAAAAGGAAAACCTAATTAAGGTAAACATATTGTCATTTTCTTCCACAAATAGAAAAATCAAATATGATAAGAAAATTATGGCAAACACCTAACACAATAATCATACTATTATATCAAATTGAAGTTCCGACATTTTGTTTGGAGTGCACGAGGAGGACATACCCATCATGCCAAACAATCTCTTAAAAAATTAGTAACTCGAGATATGGTTGATGGCATGAAATTGCTTGTACTAAATAAGAGAAACAGCAGTCCCCTCGTTTCACTTCATATGTTCCTCACCTGAAATGCAATGATTTTGCTAATATTTGAAATAGTTTATCTTGCCTGATTTTGGGGTGCTAGGAAATATAATTTGTAGCATTAGAAGCGAATTCATGATCTAACCTAGGAATAGTAAATTTTGTATGGCTTTGATCTTATAATATGGGGAAAGTTTATTTTGTGAGTCATACGACAAATTTGACAAGTGGAATACTAGGTCCCACATTTGTTAGTGAAGAAGAAAAAAAAGAGGAAAAGGGAAAAAAAATCAAAAAGAAAGTGAGATCCACAAATAAATATTGTCCCTAAATTAAGAATAATTAGTTATATAATGGCCAATAAAGAAATAACACGTCTATAATTTTGAGGTGTTTGTAAGGGTGGACATCGGTCGGTTCGATTCAGTAGTAAATGTTATCGGCTTGACATATTGGTTATCGAGTTATAAATATGCTAAATCGATAACCGAATTGATAAGATATCGGTTATCGATCGTTATCGCTTCGGTTATCGGTTTACCCGATAAGATAACTCAATCTAGATTCTAAAGGGAAGAAGTAATGAAGGATAATGTATAGTGTATAAGAATATAATAAACTTGCAACTCTCTCAAAGAATATGATAAACCTTACAAGGGAAGAAGTAATGAAGGATAATGTATAGTGTATAAGAATATAATAAACTTGCAACCCTCTCAAAGAATATGATAAACCTTACAACATTGTTTCTCTATGTGCTGAATGACAAATTTTGGGAGAGTTAAAACAATAGACGGAGAATTGGGAGAACTGGAAAATTTATATACCTAAGGGTAAAATTGTTTTTTATAAAGTTTATTGGGTTAATGGTTAAATTGTTAATAAAATTGGGCAAACAAGACCCGAACCAATAACTCAATAGTAAAATAACACTAAACCATTACTGAACCGTTAAACCAATAACCCAATACCTGTGAGCACGTGATTTTGCCTCATATGAATTACTCCAAAAGAATACTCAAAATTATGTTTTTTCTTTAATTATGTGTTATTCTAGGAATTATTGTGCAATTTTCCTGATTGTTTGCATATCTTTGTGAGCATATTTAATTTTATTAATGCATTAAAAAATACAAAAAAAATATAGCATCTGCACTTAGGATTTGATTTTACATTTTTGGTTAATTAAGTAAAATGTTGTTTTACAAAAATGAAAAATTCACAAAAATAACGTATTTTTGCATTTTAGTGTTTAATGTCAAAATTTTGCGATTTTCTTTTAATTTGGTATTAATTATGTGTGATAATTATTATTTAGAGATAATTAGTATTTTAAGATAATTTGGGTTTTTATAGCTTAATTTAGGATTTTTAAGTTTTAAATTTTGAAAAAGAAATTAGAAAGAAAATTTAAAAGAAAAAGAAAATAAGAGAGAAAATCTGGTTTTGGGCCAATTTGGCCAAAAGGTCCCAAGCCCAAACAAAACCCGTCCAAACCTACCCCAAACCAGCCCAGACCCGTCTTCCCCAACCCGGTCCGTCTCCAGCCTCAACCAAACGACGTTGTTTCAAGCGTTTCAATCTGGACCGTTGAATCAACCTAATCGAACGGTCCAAAGCCTTCCTTATTACCTGCCCCTGACCCGCCCCTGAACCGGTCTAGCCCCAGTCAAATAAAACGACCCCGTTTTGTTTAAAAGCTTTGATCGAAGCCGTTGGATTTCAATCATCTAACGACTCAAATTAAATCACCCATTTTAATATACCCAAAACCTTACCCCCACCCCTCAGAACCTCTCAACCTCTTCCTCTCTAACCAAACCCTATAGACGCCGCCACCGTACCCTCACCGCCTTAGGGTGGCGGCGCCGGCTCCGTTCACCTCCAAAATTACACCCCGGAACCACCACAACCCTCTCTTTCCAAATCCCCGATCTGTTTCCCTCGAATCTTGCCAGAACCTCTCGAATCTCAAATCTAAGATCGAGCCCTAAAAGTTTAAAATCGGTTTCCCATGAACCTAATAACATGCATCGATCCAGACCTCTAATCTTCATCATTGGAAGGATTGATTCACTACAAAACCGATGTTTCTCATTTGTTCTTGACAAAGAACAAATGATTGGCATCAGTTTCGGATGAATCAAAGTATCGAGTGTAATTTCAAGTTTAGTCGTAAGTTCCCTTCATTATTTCTGTTCGTTTAGTGTTTGTCTCATCTCTATCTCTTCTTCTTTTCTACTTTGTGTATCTTAGATGTCTGACTTTGGGTTGAAATTATAATAGTATCTTCCTATTAGGTTAATTTGTTTGTTCATTCATTTCTGTCCATTTTTAGCTTTTATTTTAATAAAAAAAAAGGATTGTGCCCTAATTTTGGTTTATCCGTTCTGTCTAGTTTTAGGTTTGTATCCAGCTTCTGTTTTAGTTGTTTAAGCTCATGAGTTTGCTATTGAATCAGTAGGTTTCCATTTTTCAATTTATATTTATATTATTCTAACAGGCAACATATTAGTATCCTCGTGATGTTTTGATTCCTTGTTAAAATGATTATGTTAAATGTGTCAAAGGTCGATCAAATAGGCTCTTCATTGTTCTTTTCTTGCTAATGTCAGTTCAGATTGTTCATATGAAGGGTTATTGTTGACTCTGTTTCAATGCTAAACCTATTTAGGTTTCAAAAACTGATGCCCTTTGGTTCTGGTTGCCTAGCAATTCTGTAAATGTTCAGAACTTTAAGAGATTCTAATTGAATAATTAGGAACTTAAGGGGTAGTCTAGGAATTATTCAATAAAGGAGATTGTTTACCTAACGTAGGAAGCTTCTCAATAGTGGTAGAGTAGAAATTGCATTACTGAATTAATTAAAAACACTAAGTTAGTGGATAGTTAAGAAATAAAAAAGTAGAATTGATAATGGGAATGACACTAATTGAATGCTTATTTAAAGGCTGAAAATCAGAGAACAAGGAGAGAAGCAGAACATTCTGAGAGACAGGGAGATAGTCACTGAGTTCATATACACAACAATCTAATACTCTGAAAGACTAAAAAAGAAGAAGATAGAGTACACACACACACTGAGTTCAAAAACAAGGAGGTCCTGAAATACCGAAAGAGTTAAAAGAGCATTTTGAGAACTCTAAAGAATAAAACTGTTTCATTGAGGTACTGGTGATTTCTAAAGTTTCCTTAGGACTGAAACAATTTCTGGATAGTTGATAGTTGAAATGAGCTGAAATCAAATCTGGTTCAAGTTTTCTAGTTCATTACTTGGATTGAAACTGTTTTTCTGGGTTGTTTTATTCACTTTCTGGGTTTGAAACTGGTTG